AGATGTATTCCTTTTTGGAGGGATTCTCCTCTTGCCTGGTCCAGGCAGCTCTTAATTAATAATTCTAGATGTGTACATCTCATTTTGAGCCCTGTCTGTATATTGACTAAGCACTTTTGTGGTTCTGTATCTCTGGCTGTGTTTTTAGTTCTGCAGTTGCAAATATTGGGACAGAAATTTTGTGAAGACACGTACATAAAAACTCTGAGGTCTCCTGATACTCTGAGGAACAGTTCTTCTGGACATCAGCTACCCATAATTGGTAGTTATAATAAGATTTTTTTCCCAAGTTGTTTTGTTGTTTTGTTTTTTTTTTTTATGACACCTTTCCAAAATGTGAATGTAGGTAGTCCTAGTAGATGCAATACATCACTTCATGGCATGGATTCTTAGTCTCACTGCTGTTTTATAGTGCAGATGATCTGCTTCTGAGAATTTACATTTTTCAAAGTAGTAACTGAAATGGAGAAGCATTAAGGAATGCCCAAAACAGTTTTATGTTTTGTTCCTCCTGGTTTTATTAATATTTTTTTTCCCTTTCATAAGGCACCTTAGCAAGTGATCCAATTCAAATTTTGAAAATGCATGGAAAATAAACACAAACAGTGCAAAGTATCATAGTATCATGGAACTGTGTGAAGGAAAATATATATCAGGTTTTCTATTTAATCCTTCCTTTTCTTTTGCCATGTGGGAGGTAGCAGCTCTCAAAGTGATCTTCAGTATGCACTGTTGTATCCACAATGTTGCTGTGATACAGACATCTGCAGTGATAATGTCACCTCTTTGATGATTCAAAAGTTATTTATAAGTAATGTTAGAAAATGTGCATGGCAGCTGGAAGATCTGGACATGAGTCAGATGTGTTCTTGCATTTGACGTAGTTTTTCCCTCTCACACGCAACAGAAGGCACTATTAGTTATGTAACTGCTTATTTACAGAAGAGAAAAAAGGTAAAGTTTACCATAACTATGGCAAGTGCAGTAAATTGTACCAGCAGGATATTGGGTGGGAGGAGGAGGAAGACTAAAGATTTTTAGCTAAACATTCATGCAAGTGAACTCAAGTTTCCATACTGTCCTGTGCAACCAGCACCATAGTTAAACCATGGCTCAGAACATTGTTTAGCTCACGTATTTGATATTAAATCTTAAATATACAAAATTCTGTCAGTAGAAGTGTTGACTACATGCCTTTAAGTAAGCCATTTCATTAAGAGTTGAGCAAAATAGGAAAAATTTAATCTATTTTATACTTTATATGCCAGACCATTTAAGGAAGGACATCTGAGGGAGTTGGGGCTGTTCAGGCTGAAGAAGTTAAAGCTCTGGGAGGACCTCATAGTGGCATTCCAGTACCTGAAGGGGACCTACAGGAAAGCTGAGGAGGGACAAGGGCTTGTAATGAGAGGACAAGGGGCAGGGCTTTTAAAATGAAAGAAGAGAGATTTAGGTTAGGCATCAGGAAGAAATTCTTCAGTGTGAGGGTAGTGAGACACAGGAACAGGCTGTCCAGAGAAGCTGTGGAAGCTCCATCCATGGAAGCATTCAAGACCATGTTGGATGGAGCTCTGAGCAACCTGATCTAGTGGGAGGTGTCCCTGCCCATGCATTGGGGTTGGAACTTGATGATCTTAAAGTCCCTTCCAACTCCAACCATTCTATGATTCTATGATTCTATGACCTGAAAATCCTATACTCTGACAATCCCTCTCTGTGCTTGATATAAAGAAAGTGATGTGTATATTGTGCAGTTGGGTGGTCATGTGGAAAGTGTTGTGTGTTCTGGTGAAATGCTGACAGCTGGAAGAGCAGCAGGACAAAATCCCATGGCTACTTCTACAGAGCAACATTACTGATAAAACATTGCGCCTTAGTTTGACAGCCTGTGGTCAGCAGAAAGTCAGAAATACAAAAGCAGATATGGAAAAAATCAGTCACTATGTGTAATTGTGCTTTCTGAGGTATCTGTATAGCCATAATCCTTGGATTGCTGTGACAAGACTGCAATGAGATTTCCTCTTGGGGTGATAGAAACAGACTCCAAATTATTGAAAAAATATTTAGCATTGCTAAAACAGTAAGTCTTGCCAAATATGTGGTTAAATTTTTCTCAAAGTAATATAGATTTTCCATATAGGCCATTTTCTTCTGCAGTGTGTGTCAGAGTGAGGATAATATGTGTAAGTTCTCTTTTTACCAGAAAGTATATTGCAAAACACATTTCCACTGTAATTAATATAAATATTAAAAGTTAGCTAGGCTGTTTGAATGATGAGAAATAGTCTCAGAAAAGTTTAAGAGTAGAGAAACACTGGATATATTGACACAGCTATGGCTCGAAATTAATTATTTATCTCTCCTTTTGCATCTGCTGCTACAACAAACACTTCCAATGCAATCAGAATTTTTTTAAACTTTGAATTTTAGCATTGCCTGTTGATATTTTTGTTGCATGTGTAGCACTGGTGTTGGGGCTTTATAGGTCAGGCATTCAGTGGAAGATTGTGGGAAATATTGTTTCTACTCATGGACTTCAGGAACTTAAAAAAAACTACATTAACACTCAGCAGTGGCATCTAGATATGAAAATACTCTTTTTATCACTTGTTCTGGTGATGCCACTTGCAAAGTGATAGTTTACCCCCAGCTAGGATTCCATATATTCTCAATAATGATGTACCTATTGGGAGAGGATTGAAGCACATTAGAACTATAAGAAGTATAATTGTTATTAAAGGCAAATTAACATGTGGGATTGCGTAGAGAAAGATGACTTCTGATTAAGAAGCAAAGAACGGCAAAAAGTTCCACAGGCAGTTAACTCAGATGTAGAGAACTCAGCTAAGGTTAAAGCAAAGATGCTAGTGCTAAATCAGAGTTATGTTTTTTTCCAAAATGGATTATTTCACATTGTCACACAATTTATAGTAAATAAATTAATGTTTACATATGGATTAAGATTTATCTGTGATTAACAGTAAGATTCTTCTGGATTAAAATGTGTAGTCCAACAAGCTGTAAGGTAGCTGAGTAAGACATAAAATGGACTATGGTTGTCTACCTCAAATATTGATTTTTTCTGAAAGGCATAAAAAGCAGCTGGTAGACAGGTTCATTACCCTTCTGGCAATAAGGAAAAAGAGATGATATTTTCAAAGACTCTTTCTAATGCTAGTAGAAGTAAAAATACTTAAAAGTTGTGAAGATAAGGATCTGTGCTCACTTCTCCTCAGATCAGTGCAGTCATGTAAGCTTAAGCCCAAATTCTGTAAGAGTGGTTTCAATGCTTAAAGGCACGTTGTTTTCTGTTATCACAGAATCATAAAAGGGGTCTTAAAGATCATCTAGATCCAAACCCTGTGCATTGGTAGAGGGTTTATTGTTCTCTGCTTTGAAATGCCACAGAATCACAGAATCGCTTAGGTGGAAAAAGACCTTAAATAACATTGAATGCAACCATTACTTCTACTCTACCAAGTCCAACATTAAACCATGTTCCCAAGCTCCACATCTAGATTACTTTTAAACACATCCAGGGATGGCGACTCAACCACCTCCCTGGGCAGCATGTTCCAGCATCTGACAACCCTTTCAGTGGGTAAGTTTTTCCTGATGTCTAGTCTAAACCTCCCCTGGCACAGCTTGAGGCCATTTCCTCTTGTTCTATCACCAGTGACTTTTGAGAAGACACTAGCACGTACCTCTCTACAGTGTCCTTTCAGGTAGTTGTAGAGGGCAATGAGGTCTCCCCTCAGCCTCCTTTTCTTCAGACTAAGTAGTCCCAGCTCTTTCAGTGGCTCCTCATAAGACTTGTTCTCAAGGCCCTTTACCAGCTTCATTGCCTTTCTTTTGGAGCACACACAAGCCACAGCTTCCTGTTCATCATTCATGGGAGAAAAAATTCAGCATATTGAACTGAGGAATGGTGCAACTTTAGGTGAAGGTTGATTGTCTCTCATAGCTCCAGAAAATGAATGAGGCTGGTTCTAGATCTAGAAAGTTCATAGTAAAGAAACCTGAATGGAAAATATGCAAGTTTCCAACTTATGCTTGTGAGCAGACACATCCAAATTAATCTAAAAATATGTCAGGTCTGCTAGGTCTGCTGTGTACACAGAGTTTCTGCCACAGTTCACAAAAACTTGTCATATTGGGGTGGTTTTGTTTGGGGTTTTTTGGTTTGCTTGGTTTTTTTTTTTGTTGGTTTTTTTTTGTTTTTTTTTTAATTTTCTCTACCACTTAATATTTTGTGACAGTCTCTACAAACTTCTTGATGGACTTTCTCTTGTACCACGATGATGTTCGATAGAACATCTCTTTTGCTGTGAATTCCTTGAATTTACCTGGTCAACCCACCTCAATTATGTTTTGGGCACAATATGCAGTACAGGCTATACACTGGTTTAGATGGTCCCCACACCTTAGCAAATGAAAAGAATTCAGCAATTGCCTGCAAAATACTTTCACAATGCATAGTGTATAATTTTAATTTCTAAGGGTTACTGTTGTCTATGAAGAGCTTCACAAGAATAATTTTTGTAGAGTTCATTCTATGTAATGAAAAAAATGAAAAATCCTTTGTTTCTGAAGCCATTGCATGAGGGTATCTCATGGTAAACTTCCTCCAAAGGATTTATTTTTTCAGCCACTCCAAAATTCATTATTTGTTATAGGAGTTACTGAAGGTTAAACTTGGCGTGAGCATTTGAAGGATTTAAAAGCACAGCATCCTGTAGAAGAAACAGAGCAATAAAAACTGCATGATTGCTGAATCAATATTGTGCCATTTCCTGTATACTGAATTCCTTCATTTATGGTGAAAAATACTTGTCTGTTTACCTCTTATCTTCTGTAAATATCACACCTATTTTTTTTTTACCCCTCCTCTTTCCTTATCCCTTTGTCTCTCCTCCCCTGTGATAAAATCAATTGCACCAATGGATATTATATAAAGAAAAGTTTTCAGTTGAGTTTCCACTTCACCCAGCTTAGCCACCATGGGGCTAAGAGCTGCCAGCCTTTTGGTACTCTGGCTGGCTCTTTCCCATGCGAACGAAATAAGAAAAGGTAAGCTCTAGAAATGAAATGGTACCAGATTGCTTTCTGAAAAAAGGGAATAGAATTCAAATACCACTGCAGAGGTAGAAGGAGGTAGTGCATTTAAATAGCACAGTGGAGTTTTAAGGTGCCTTAAATTTCTTAAACTTTCAATTACTGAGGCTACATAGCTCAGCCAACACTGGTAGATAGTGCTCAATTTAGAGGGTTTAGTACCTACATCCACTGAACTAATCTCTAGTTTGATGTGCTCAGAAAATATTTTCAGTGTTACTTTTCTTTCCTCGTGTTGAGACTTTCCTAGGTATGGCAGAAAGCAGCTGTAGGACTTTGGGAGGTTCATTGTTAGAGCAATGAAGAAAGTGAGTAATTGTGCATTTGATTACTTTGGAATGACATAAATACTTTCTTCAAAAGTGAATGTAGTAACATTGGACAAAACTATTTTCAGGATATTAATAATCCTTCTGTATAAAGCTCTAATTTACTCCATCTGTTAGCAACTTTGTTTGAAGTTTTGAAATTGAATTCTTATACCAAAAACTATTTTTGGAGCAACAAGTGATGAATTTTGTGCTGTGATCGTGTTTGGGGTATTGTTCTTGGGCTGCTGTGTCTTGAATTCAGCAATGTCTTGCTTTGGTACCCCAGCTGTGGGCTCTGGGAGAATCTCTGTGTAGCATTCCTTCTGAGGAGAGAAACATACCAGCTTACTGGGTGTATCTGGTATGATTGATGCCATCAAGTATGGTAACTTCAAGGTCCCCATGGTAGTTCTGCTTTTGCAAGTTGAGAGGTTCTTGTGAAGTTTAGTGGCATGTGTGCTTTTGTTACCTCTGCAAGCTTCCTAAGTATGCTCAACTTTTATGTTCACCCTAATCTACATCTTGATATTTATCAGATATTGCACTGGTTTGTATTATTTGTTGGTATAAATGGCTGGGAAGGGAATGAGTATAATCAGCTTCATCTATTGCTGTTGTTAAAAAAAACCAAAAAGCCCAAACTAAACATATTTTTCCTGATTTTTGTTGATCGCACCATGGTTATTTTTTTTACCTATCTTCTGAAGAATTTCTATTCTGTAGTAGAAATCACTACTTCTGTTAGGAAAAGAAGGAATTATTTAAAACCTCCTATTGTGCACAAATCCTTTCAGAACATCTGACTTATTTGCCTTCCAGAGTAGAAGTGGTCCTTCCTTGATTTCCTGTTTCCTTTCTAGTACATGTTGCATTAGAGAAGAAAGTAGCCCTTAGAAATACTTGATATTCCTGAAAATAATGCTGTGATTCAGAATAAATTCTTATGTTTGGCAAAGCAGCTCCATTCTACTAGTGCACAGGCTTGTTAGTGGTCAAGGGGTTAAGTTTTTGCATCTTATGCAGACAAGTTTCTTCACCTCATTGAGGGTTATAAGATACACCCAGGTCTTGACACTATTTTCTAATGTCTTATTTTCCTTTAGAGATTCACGTCTCTTCTGCTTCATGGGCAGATACTTGATCAGGCTTGGGATCCATGGAATCACTGTGCATGTAACTTCAGATGGTTTCTCCTGCATAATGCATCACTTACCTTTGCTTGATGCCAGCTCATTCATTTCACTTTTTTCATGCCTATTTCTTTTTCATCCCATAACAGGAAGGACAAGAAACCATGGCCACTATGTCTGCAGCACTTGGGGAAACAACCATTTCAAAACTTTTGATGGAGACATCTACCAATTCCCTGGCATTTGCGAGTATAATTTTGCTTCTGACTGCCGAGACTCTTACAAGGAGTTCTCTGTCCACATTCAGCGTGCTCTGAACAACAACAACCACCCAGAGATCCAGTATATTCTAATAACAATCAAGGATTTCACGGTGTACCTGAGACCAAAAGTGGCAGTGGTGGATGGACGAATGTAAGTTATTTTAGTGTAATAGTATTTCTGAGAAATGTGCTGGGAAGATAAAAACAGGATTGATTCTTTATGCAGCTAGCTGTTTATACCATTAAGGTAGATGCTACAAGCATTTACAAAAGGAAAAAAAAAAAGGCCCTTTGAAATCCAGCATAAAAATTGCTTTGAGGAGGCTGTTAGTATTAATCGTAATTTCTATGCTGGCATAAGGGATTATTTACATGCAAGTCAGGAAGAAGTTTGAGTGAAAGTTCGTTTCTGATTGTGCAGAAAACAATGCAGCTCATGAGCCATATCTTTCACCAGCATAAAATGACATATCTTCTTGACTTTTCCTTAGCAGATGTCCTGACAAATCCTCAGAAATTAAAATGCATTTCTCCAGGGTCTTTTTCTCTTACTTTGTGGCAGAAGAAAAATGTTTTTTTCCTGTCTTCATAAATAATTCTTTATGAACTAATGGCCATTCCTCAATGGATTATAACAGATAAGTTGCACGACAAAATTTACAGTATTTTGTATGTGACAATATTTACTTTTACAGCAAGCTGCAGTATTTTTCTCCTCCTGTAACATGGATGCAAAAGGAACTAGTCTGACACAATTTCTGGTGCAAGTAGTGTCTTAACCTAGCCTTTCATACTTTAGTCTGTCATTTCAGTATGCATATAGACACATACTGAAAAAAAGTAAAGCAACTTACAGCTTAAGACATAGTTCTGAAGATGGAAGAAACTGGCTGTTAGTATGTCTTAGCATAATTAAAAAAAAAATAAATTCTTACACTGTCATTGTAGAACTGGGTTTTTCTACAGAACTTAGCTTTTACTCTGAAGTTTGGAGGCCACTGCAATGAAAATCTGTTCAAAGGTCACAAATAACATTCAATTTTCCAAGGATCATACCAGAATGCATAACATAATGACATGAAATGATAAAAGATGTATTCTCGCCCTGAACTGAAAATTCCCTTTATTGTGTACTCAGGTCTTAAAAAGAACTCCATGAAAAAACAAGTTTAGAAATCCTTAAAAATTATTTTTCATAAACCAAGCCTATTTTTATTTTCAGGAGTTTTCATAAAGCAGTAGGTTTCTTCTGAAAGGAAAGCTTGTAGAACAGGTTTTTTCTGCTTGGGGGATTTATTTTTTTGTGAAACTCGATTTCCCATATTGCTCTTTAAATGGCATATGAAACATTGGAATGTAAAATAGCATTTCACACTACTGAAATGAAAACTGCAAAGTAGACAAGTGTAAGAATTTGCCTTTTGATACCTGAAACAATGATTGCTTGAATGTCCTAGTATTAGAAAAAAAGAGAAATATTCCATGCTGTTATAATTGAAAGGTGAAAAGCTGTCCAGTCTTTAATAATCTTTCTCCAAAAACATAATATCTTAAGGCCTCATTGTCCAGAGAATGAACAATGGAGCCAAAAGTAGAAATAATAGCTTCTGATTTGCTGCCTATTATTTAGACATGTAAATCAGTTGGCCATGTTAAAAATGCCTGAGGTAAATAGTTGGAAAAATCCCAGTGACGGGCAGATGAAATTCCTAATCACTAGTCAAGAGACAGTTACAAGGACATGTGCATAGACGTACATGAGTCTTGATAGGTAACCATTATATTGGCAAATCTGTAGAAAACGAACTGGTTATTTTGGATTCCAGTTTACACTGCTTCTGTTTGAACAGACTCCAGTTCTTCAGATTTTATAGAATGAGGCTGCTTGTCACAATCTCTTTATTGAGGAATGACATTCAGCAGTGTGAATTGTTACATAATGCACTGTAAGACAGGCATACAAGAACAGGAGAAAGATCTGGTGAACTGATTTTTTATCAGACAAAAACATCTACTTTCACCCTTCTGCAAAATATCTTCTGTCAGATTAACATGCCTTGCTGTCATCATTAATAGGCTTGGTCCTTCAACCAAATACTAATCAACTAACTACTCAGTTCCTTTTAACATGCACCTTCTTTTCAGACTTTTAATGGTAGTCCCTGTATCTTTCTGTGCTTTTAGAACTCTTTCTTGGGGAGGAATGTCCTTGCAAAGGAACATTCATTCTCTCTGAAATGGTTGTCAGGTCTTTTGGTAAATAAAAGCTTCCATTTATGTTGTTACTTCTTTCATTTAAATAAATGATTGGTGAATGTTTGAATATCCTCAATACCATAATGAGAATTGATTTTCCTCTAAGTTGAAGACATCTGACACTTTGGCTCCTCTTGGGGGAGGCCTTGCCTCTGAAATTGCTTTTCCTTTTAAAGACAATGAGTTGTCATGTCAAGTGTCAGAGAGAGGACTTTATGCCTCAGAAAAAGGCATCCTGTTCAGCTAGGATTAGGTGGACGGAGACTGGTTTCTCTAAGACTAATTACAGAAATTCATCTCCCCTCCCCCCTTATGCTTCTGTACTAATGCAAAGTCTCTGATTTTCATCCCAGTGTGAAGACACCTTACTACAGCTCTGGTCTGCTCATTGAAAGCAATGACATTTATACCAAAGTTTATGCCAAATTAGGCATGATTCTGATATGGAATCACGAAGATGCGCTGATGGTATGTATGATCCAAGTAATTTTTATTGGTGTTTCCTGTGTTCAACAGACTACTGTGTACTGAAAAGAAGCAGAATCTTATGAACTGAACAAATGAGACTTTTATGCTGACTCATCCAACTGACACTCATAGTACCTTATTTTAAAAACATTAAGCTCATTTCTCTGCAATGTGATAGAGGTAGCAGTATGGCATACAGATCATCTCATTGGTGTCAAGAAAGGAAGAAGGAGCTTTTGGAGAAATAACTAATGTTTTTGCTCAAATACCCCCACAATCCAATATGCATTTTCCTTAATTTGTCTTTTAAAAAACTGCCATCATCAACTTCCCTAATTAATTGCAAGACTTAAATTTAAATCCCACTAAGGAAAAAAAGGAGAAAAAAAGTCCCATGATTTTAAGAAAGCTTTCCTTTTCATCTTTATCACCATGGTGATTACTGTCAGTATTGAAATACCCATGATTCAGTCACTTCTTTCTGTTTCCCATTTGCTTTTTTTTTTTTTGCATCTAACTGTGTGTTTATTAAAAATGTTACAAATTAATTTGCAATAGCTATTTCTCTAAGAGTTTTGAGTTCAACATAACTTCTGTCATTTAGCAACTTCCCTTTCAGGGAAACATATTTGCTTTGGAATGTCTTCATGCTCCAGATGACTCTTTTCTGTTTTTTTTTCTGATTCTTTCCATTACCTAGGTTGAGCTGGACAGCAAATTTAATAATCATACATGTGGTCTCTGTGGGGATTACAATGGAGTTCCAATCTACAATGAGTTTATTGATGGAGGTGGGTTGTCCTACCATACTGACAGTTGGCACAAAAGATAGGCCGATAAGTATCGTGCGTAGGAGCATCACGGGAGAGAAAATTTCACCTTGAATATTTCTGTGATTGCTCCTGAACAAACATTTTTATTTTATTCCAGATGAATAATCTTGTTCTGTTCTCTACTGGCTGCCTTTTCTTGTTACCACTTTACATTTTTAAGCATTCCTAGACATACCACTTTACATTTTAAGCATTCTTGGACATAATAGATATAATTCAAAGCATTGATCTGTGTCTGACAGGCATATTTGATACCACAGTAACTGTTTTCCATAATCTATAGAGTCCCAGGAACCAGATGCTCCTGTTGTCAATTTCTGGGGCTCATCAATTCCTCTTTTTTTTTCTTTCTTCTTTTTTTCCCCCCCCCCCCTTTTTTTTTTCTCATAGTTACAAGCTACAATTCAATCACATATGGGAATTTACAGAAGATTAACAAACCTGGTGAGAAATGTGAAGATCCTGATGAAACCCAGGCTCTCCCAAGCTGTAATGAACATGTGAGTATGCCTAGTGGTGAACTTCACTTGCATGGGCACATGGAGACACTTGTGCTACAGGCAATTAGAGTGTGAGGAGGGGTGAGGACTTTGTCCCTTTCAGGGTAAATGGTTTCTTCTTCCTTCCTTGAATAGTCGTTGTTCAGAAGACAACAGTTTCTATGGCAAGACAGGAAGTGTCTAGAAGCTCAGGTGCTTAGAAATCTATTAAATATTACTCTTCCTCCTTAGCGTGATGAGTGTGAGAAGTTGCTGACTTCCTCTGCATTTGCTGACTGTCGGTTACGTCTGAATTTGGAAATGTACATCCAAGCCTGCATGCAGGACAAGTGTGCCTGTGCTGGGAAGGAGGACTCCTTCTGCCTCTGCAGCACCATCTCTGAGTATTCTCGCCAGTGCTCGCATGCGGGTGGCCGGCCGGGTGAATGGAGGACACAGGACTTTTGCCGTAAGCAACTAAATGCATTTTACAAAGAAACAAATATTTCATGGATGTAGCATTGTGAAGCATTTTAAGTAATTTTTTTTTTTCTACAAAATATAGGCATGTATTTTAAATTTCATACCAGTCCTATAAACTGCATACTATGTTCTTCCTGTTTTCTTCTTTTACCTTTATTATTAAGAAATCTTTTTCAGCAAGTAAAAATTCTGTACCCACTAAAAAATGATGAGGTCTGATGTGACAGATGGCTGGGATAATTTTATCTATTTGAGAACAAAATAAGGAAATATAAAAAGCAGGGAAAGCCATTTAGGAACTAATGAACATGTTTTTCCAGATGAAGACACCACTGCCAATTGGGACACCACTGCCTTGAGGGGAGGAGGGGATATGATCCCTGAGGAATTACAGACTTTACGCTCAAATAACTGATGGTGTCTTTCTCATTCTTTCAGCCAAGACTTGTCCTGCTACCATGGTATATAAGGAAAGCAGCTCACCCTGCATGGACACTTGCTCACACTTGGAGATCAGCAGCCTTTGTGAGGAGCACCACATGGATGGTTGTTTCTGCCCTGAAGGCAAGTATTATTTTACCTGTTACATATGAAACAAAACTAAGAGATCCTGCAAATGAGGTTGCAACTGAAATATTGAGTGTATTCAAATTATAGCTTAAAAACCAATACCATTACTCATTATTTCCACACATCCCCCCCC